CTGCCCGGTATATATATATATATATCGTCACAAACAGAACTGCCCGGTAAGCCGTAGGCAGAGAGAGAGAAGAGGACAACAAACGAGGGGCTGTGACAAACTGTTTCGTCGGAGTTTCACCGACTCATCAGGAGGCTGAATATATATCGTCACAAATAGAACTGCCCGGTAAACCGTAGGCAGAGAGAGAGAAGAGGACAACAAACGAGGGGCTGTGACAAACTGTTTCGTCAGAGTTTCATATATATATATATAGGGACACACCGGTTGATGGTGACCGAAGAAGGGACGGGACATCCGACGTGGATGTCGGGATGGGGAATCAACAGCCAGCACCCATGTTGGCCATTGTACAAATATATCGGTAGTCGGTGCCTGCGTATATATACGTGGGCAGTCGCGGCTTTGCCGCGCAGCGCAGTCATTGGTGGGCGGGTCTTCAGTCGACGACGAAGTTCTCGCGAAACGAGGAGTGGTCTGCATGCGAAGGCAGAGAGAGAGAGAGAGAGATGGCGGACGTAACCTCGGTGGTGAGGGAGGTGGTCGACGGGAAAGAGGTTGTCGTGTAGGAGACCCTGTTGGAACGGGGAACGGAGCGCCATCGAAACATGGATTGGGGACGCACTGTCATCAACGACCACACGCGCGTTTACTACGCGCTTGTTAATGGCCTCCTCGCGATGAGGATGGTGGCCGGGTTAGGGTACGAGCGGGATGGCAGCCTTGCGGAGGTCGTTTTGTTCGTCAAGAAGTTGTCGAATGTTGTGTCGAACTCATGGCTTGGCCCGCGCCCTGATGTCGTCGAGGACATCATCCGCTATCTAGTCTCAGCCATCGCCGAAGAGCACGTGGGGACCAGTAGCAACAACGCATGCTATGTGGCGCACATGGAGCATCCACTTCGGGAGAGAGGCTACCTGCATGGGGCGATCCAGTTTTGGTACCCGGAGGATGACCTCAGGGTTGCGCGTAACAGGTGGTAGCCTGCCTTCCAGAGAGAGAGAGAGAGAGAGAGAGAGAGAGAGAGAGAGAGAGAGAGAGAGGAGTTGGCGATGGAGGACATGTTCGCACGAGGGCGACGATGACCGGATAACGCTTGACCCGCCGCGATGGCCACATGTGGGCCTTTTTTTTTTGGCGTCATGAGGCTTGGACGCAGCATTAACGCTGCGTCGTTGAACGATTACATTCCAATTGTCCTATCATCGCATGCGTGTTTCGGAACTTTTTGTAAACACTCTATTGAAATAGGGTTTAGTCTCTCTCTCTCTCTCTCTCTCTCTCTCTCTCTCTCTCTCTCTCTCTCTCTCTCTCTCTCTCTTTTCTATCTCTCTTCGTGTGAGCGCATATTGTATTGGGTGTGGACTGCACTGGATATGGAATGTAATGGTCAAGGTTGGTATGTGTTGCGATGTTTGTATTTTGACGCCCTTGTCTGCATCGGTTGTTGGTTTTATTCCGAGTTTTGTATTTATTTATTTTTCTGGTCGTTTTTCTCCTCATCTTCTATTCACTTCATTTCAGATGTTACCACATTGACAACATTACAAGTTCACGAAAGGGGAAAGACAGTTGTCGATGACGAACCAGGTCCGCTTTGCATGTGGGACTTGTCATGTATGATCGGTTTTTTGTCTTCATTGATGGGTTTTTGGTCTTCATTGATGTTGGGATTTCCTTTCTTGTGTAGTATGTCGGTTCACTATGCCTTTCTTCTTTGCCTCTTACACCTTTCACCGATTGCAACGGGCTGGACATGACACATGTTAAACCCTTATGTGTCGATCAACCCTTATCAACGGGGGCAGACTGGAACGCAAAAGGTTGTGGACAGAGGGTGTTGTAAGACAATATATATATATATATTATATATATATATATTGTCGGTGAAACTCCGACGAAACAGTTTGTCACAGCCCCTCGTTTGTTGTCCTCTTCTCCCTCTCTGCCTACGGTTTACCGGGCATAGTCAAACAGAACTGCCCGGTAAACCGTAGGCAGAGAGGGAGAAGAGGACAACAAACGAGGGGCTGTAACAAACTGTTTCGTCGGAGTTTCACCGACAATATATATATATATATATATATATATATATAGTCAAACAAGACTACCCGGTAAACCGTACGTAGAGAGGGAGAAGAGGACAACAAACGAGGGGTTGTGACGTATATATATACATGACAAACCGATGCAGTAACGGGTGGAGAGACATCAAACGATCGACCAGTCGGTCTGCCAAAAGATTGTTCAATCAATTCTTCGGCGAACAGTAAAATGATAAAGCAATCAATCAATCAATCATCAATCAATCAATCAATCAATCATTCAATCAACCCAACAATCAATCAATCAACCAATCAATCAATCAATCAAATAAACAAATTGCGGACTCGTAAAAAAAGACACCCGGCGTGGACATGTAACGTCACTGCATTGACACACCAAAACAGCGATCAATCGACCAATCTTGAGAGAGAGAGAGATGGATAGAATGATAAAATGTTGGAATGGGTAGAGAGAGAGAGAGAGGCATATTGTCATTCACAAAAAAATCGTCGGTTGTTCGGTACAACAGGTTCACGCACACCCACACACACAGCGACGACTGCACTATCTCCACGGACATGGTGGTAGTGCACCATGATGGGC